ATGAAGTCTCTTGATGTTGGTCTGAGCGATGTGTGATGTAGACTATCTGGTTGGATTCCCCGAAACGAAAGGAATCATAGGTTGGGGATTCTTGATGACGTGTCTGAGAATCGGTCACAATGGCACAGATATACTCACTTCTGGACATCTAACGCTTTGTATACTTGCACTCACTTTTTCCCTCAGATTGTTTATTCTCTCACACTACTTTATTTTCTTTGATATCACTCTTTTTATGTCTACCTGTACTTTGTGTACTACTGTGGTGTAGCAATTTGAACCGATACACCTGTGTGCAAGGTTGTACGTTGATTTTGTCACTCAGTCAGTCCCATTGTTAGGCAGAACACTACTTTAGAGCAGTTTTGATGCAACAGTTTGCATTTACGTGGTGAGAAATGCATTCGAAAAATTGTCAGATTGTCGCTCAAGATGCCTAAAAGACTGCATTTCATGAAGACCACATAACAGGATTATGTCATCTGTGCAATCGAGAGATACTAAGGATTCTGCTGTGATAAGATCAATCCAATTGAATTCAGATGATGAGAGGAAAGTCTCCATGTGTACGTCTGTGATCCAGTTGAATAAGAATGGACGGGGTGGACATCCATGACGGACATCACTCGACGTACACAATTCATCATAGGCTCTGACACGCCTACAGGTGTTCGAGCATAGAGCCCTCAACAGAGTGATGTTCTTACTCGGCGCTCCGTTCAGTGAAACTTACTGTTATAAGACCCCTCGATCTACGGAGTCGAACGCTGTCTTCAGGTTGAAAAACAGCTAGTGTCGGGTGTTGATGAGAGTGATGAGAGTTCCAGAACCTGTTTGATTGTGACTGTGTGGTCGATGCACCCAGGACCAGGTCGAAAGGTGCAAGGTTTTCTTAGTTTGTTGTACCCGAACCCCAGTTAGGCATCGGATAAGTATAGACTCATGGATATTGGACACGATATTGGTCAAACCGAATCCCCTCCGGTTGTCACAAGATGTTTTTTAAGAGGAAAAGTAGGTGTCCTCACCCTCAACTTTCGTTGGTAACCTGCATATCTTGTTTGTCATCAGATTTGATATGGGAATTCTTAACGTTTAACATCTCGTTATTTTCACATCCGTTCACTTAGTTGTTCAACTCCGTAACACTTTCATGTAGAATAACTTGTCCTTGTACGGTAGTCGCCAGCTCTTCAGACGTACTATTTCTTCAGAGGTGTTTAGACAAGTCAATGTTTAGTAAGACTGTTCAAAGTAAACTGTATAAGTATATCAGATTTCCCAGGTGAACTTTTCCACGTTATTAGAATTCGTCAAGAGACTAATTATATATATATATATATATATATATATATATATATATATATATATATATATATATATATACGTTTGTGGTTGACTGCATATCTGAGCAGATTAATAGCGTTGTCCCGTCGCAGTTTATCTGTAATTGTTCTGCGTGGCTAATTCGTCATTGATTTGCAATCTGGCACCATCTATGAAATATCATGCAAAATTTTATCTATTCGGTTTCTTGGTCATAAAATTGAAGAAAAATTATGTACGTATATGTCAGCTATGTTAAATCTTAAATTTAAACCCAAAGCAATATTTGACCTACTTGCGATTTGAGTAATATAGAAAACTTTAGTGGTTCAGAAATGGTCCTACTTAAAAGTAGTCAGCTCAACATCTAGCTCCACTTGTCCAACATTAAAATTCGAAATTGTTATATTCCCATATTCATGGTGAAAAGATGCCAAAGATTAAAATATTTAAAACTTTTGCATAAACCATTAAATTCGATCAGATCAGTTCTGGTGAGTCGTCAACCGACGAAATCTCCGCACGGATACAAAAGTCTCGCTTGGTTTTTGTCAACTTACACCATTTATGGAGCCATTATGATATCCGATTGTCTATTAAGGGTCGAGTGTACTGGGCTGCAGTTTGCTCTGTTCTATTATATGGATGTGAAACATTACCATTAAAGGTAGAGAATATGAAAAGGCTTCGAGTATTTAACCACCGCTGCCTTCGTGGCACAGACCGTCTTCTGGTGTCACTACGTCCTTAAAGTGGAAGTCAGGAGTAGGGTTCAAGGAGAGGAATAGATTCTGTCTGAACTGTAAAAAGATGTTTAGACTCCCTTAGTTGGGTTTCGCGTAACAACAGAGACCAGTGGTTGGAGTATCTGGGTGACGTGGCTCAATCAATTTCGGTGGTGCATATGTATCCACACGTTATCTTCACCTCACTTGTGATGCTGAATTTCACTATTCTCTCATTTTCCGGTACTCTGTCTCGACTGTATACCGATTTAGTTGGTTAATCCTTCATTTTGTTTCATCTTGGTCCATTCTCACTTGATTTCCTGGTATCGCGTGACAACTAGGACCGTTTCGTAGTAATGCCTGGTCCCTTGTTAATCTTGCCTATCTTTATGTCTCTCTTTTTCAAAACTCCATAGATAAAAAAAGTGTGGATACATCTGCACGACTGTCATAAGTTATTTGTTACACAGTAACTCTTCGGCAAATGATTCTGAGCGTCTCAGGAGTCCCAACTAGGCAGTAATAATACCCTATACAGTTCAGTTCGAAAGTCAGTTACTTTCTGTATTAGTTCCATGTTACACTCTGGTCACCCTTAGCTTTCTTCTAACCTAATCTTATTTGGCTAGCATTTCGTGTCAGGATAGGCGGTCACTCTGCATTAGAAACACATGTTTCTGTCTCCATTAACGTTCACAGCTTGCCTTCATTGTCTTAGTGTGACGTCAATCTGATATTCTACTGCATAGGGCAATGCTACGCAGGCACATGTGATCGAAGATGCACAGCCACATCTATCTTTGGCAGCCATATAACAACCATGGAGTAAGACAGCACAGACTTCGAAATACACAGCTTCTAGTAGGTGGTTGGATGTCCAGTACTAATTGTTAGAGCAGATATATTTTAGTAACCACTCAAATATGTTTTTATGAGACTGTTGTAGTAGAGAGGGTGGTATTACTTGTTCTTACAAGCAGAAGTAAGAAGAGGGAAACCGAACCCTGCAACTTAATGATCTGAAGTTAAGTAAATACACAACTAAACTGTACCTGTGGATGACGCACCTTTGCATTGTAGCTGCGTGTTTCAACTGTCGAATGACTAACATATTTTGTTTTACATTTCAAACACAAACTAAGTACCCATGGAAATGGGGGCTAAGAAATTCGCTATGAGAATAATGTGACAAAATCACGAAGACATAAATGAGAGATAGATGGGAAAAGGCGTTAGAGTAATTGAAAGCAGTTAGATAAGATTCATTTGAAAAGTCGTCTGTTGCACTCTTCTTACTTTTAAATAACAGAAGAAACACGATAGATGCGATGTGGCTGCTACTGGTTTTGATTGAGCCACTTCTGTTGATATTTTCATGGACTGATTTACATGTTCGCCTGAGCCACATCTATGTGGGGTCATGATGCACTAACATACTCTAACTTAACATATTATCACGCCTTGAGCTAGCTACATCTGCCCTTTTTCCAGCATACACAATGTTAGTTCCAATGGTGGGGACACAGAGTGGTAGCAGTAACGCGATTTGAAACCAACTCCTTAGGTTGCGCAGGGTGCAGTGTGATTTCTCGGTTGTCCGAACTTCGGTAGTAGGATTTTTTTCATTACTAGCGTTGAATATTTTTCATTTGGGTCGCTGACAAGCTCTTGGACCTACGACTTAGCGAAAATGTGGGTAGTAACTACAGATATTGTGTGATATTGATGAGTGTTATGCTATCAACCAAGCCTTTCTTTTCGAAATATAATGTAATTCAATTCAGTTCATGTCTATATGGTAGACTGTGGGGCGAAATTGTCTGAGGGTTTATGAAACTGCTTGGTTTCTTAGATTGAGGTCGGTAAAGCAGGGGAGAAATCTGGAACCCAATTTTTTGCCAGTCGAGTTGCTAAGCCAATGAGAGACTTCTCCACAATTCAGAAAATACATCATATTTTCGTTCTTTATGCAACTGGTGGATTTCACTACTCATCACATAGTAATTACTTACAATAGTGTGGTATACAAATGTACACTGTTTTGGATATTTAGATCGGTTTGTCGTCGTTGATAAGTTAATTAAAAGTAAAATAAATTTTGAAAATGAACCTGTGGAAATGTAGCGAGTTCCGTGTAACTTTATTTGAAAATTTTTTTTTCATGTAACGTGTGTATGACTAAACGTCCGTTACCCCTGTCACTCTAAACCTTTCTGCTGTATGAAAGGTAGGGCCACTACTTACGTTGATTTCTTCAGGGTTTTTAAAAGCCGAATGATGAGAAAACTTTATTGATACTTGTAATATTCCCTTGTTATGCTGGATCGAATTGATCGGTCTCTGTTGGTATACACGCTCTTGTAACCTAGTACATAACACTGTGGCGTTTGAAGCACTGAGTTCGAGCCTCAGTGGAAACAATATCACCTTTGGAGTGTCAGTGCATGCTGCTGATGCGTTTGAAACAACTAAATTACTGGCCACCACCAGACAAATTACAACATGATAATAAAACTAATTACACAAAGGATAAGGAGGTGGGAAAATACTGTGTTCATTCACATAGTATGTGGCCACAGCAAAATGCTATGTGGCGAATGGGTTTTCAAAGAATGACATTACCACTAAGCATCGTCTCTTTGGGTTTTAGTTCAGTACAGTACATATCATGGGTTTATGTAGTGTTTAATTTATCCTTCTGTGCAAAGTATCCTAGTTTGCTTATGTAGCTTACGTATTCTGAGTATATGAGGGTAATACAGTTCGGTTATTCATGCATAAGCAAATAAGTCAGAGGCTAAGTTCGTTATCACTAGCGAAAATGGACACATTTGTCTGGTTTGGTTTTGGACTCATATCTTATTGTTCGTTGTTTTTCCAGCTTCAGTGTGTTTTATTTGCTTTTATTGTCAGCTAACCACCATACTTTCCTCCATCTTGTTAAAAATGTTTGTTTCAAAGTTGGCACACAAAGGAATGGAGCTGGCTAAAATTGTTCACTTGCTGGATCTTTATTGTTTGCCACACTTGGCAGAGAAGTGGGATAATGTTGGTCTAATAGTAGAACCTTCCCCACCACACTCTGTGAAGAAAATTTTTATTACCAATGATTTGACAGAACAGGTGCTCGATGAAGCAATCTCTCAAAAAAGTGATTTAATCATATCATACCACCCACCAATATTTTCTCCTCTCAAGAAGCTTACACAACAGCATTGGAAGCAACGGATAGTGGTACGTTGCTTGGAAAATAGAATCGCAATATTTTCCCCACACACGGGGCTAGATGCAAAAGTGGGAGGTATTAATGATTGGCTTTTAGAACCACTAGGTAAGTTTTAAATTAATTGATGTAATCCGGTAGCTGTAAAACACAAAGAAAATTTATCTCGATCACCTGTGGTTAATCAAACTTTGGCTAGACTAAATATTGTAATGAATCAAAATTTTGCTGATTTCGTTATATCCACTGGAGTAAGTGTATGTACAGTTAATGTTCAGAGGTAAGGTGTATTACTATCATGCCGTTTATATTTAGTGATTCTGGCACCATAGCCGTTGTTACATGTACAGAATCCGACCTCAAAAGAACTCTAGATGCTGCAGAGGAGCGTCAAATCTCAGTGATTAGTAAAGATACTATTCCAAAGGTATGTTCGCTGCCATAATAGCAAAGTTTCATAGACAGACGGCGAAGGATGTGGCAGATTAGTTACATTACATTTCCCAGTTCACCTGAAAGCAGTTATCGCAGCTTACAAAAAGTTCCTAAACTTAGAACACCTAACTGTGGCTCTAGGACAAGGCAAAACTCTTGGTAAGATAAACGTTTCATTTGTATTAGATCAGTGTTTATTTATCTTTTCTGCTTAGAGAACCTATTTTATGGGGTTAGAGGTTATTCAGTATTTGACTCGCTCTTTGAAAGTTATGGATGGTTTACAATTTCGTAGAGGGTTCATGAGTGGTACTTACACTTTTGTAGGTATCTTCACTATCCCTATCAACCAACATTATCATGAATGTTGCTACAGAAATATCTTTTTTGTCTTCAAGTTCTCGAAGAATTTTTTTACCACTGAAAAGTTCCCAATCATCTCAAAAGATACTACCTTTTTAGATGAAAATACTGGAATTTGTGAAGTAAAACGGTTTATCTATCCTATTTTTCATATCTTAAGAATGTAAACTGTTTAGGTTTCGTCCGCCATCATACCTAGACTAACTTTAGGGTATGCAGTATTTGGACATGTTGACTGCACTGATACGTGCTTATTTGGAATAATTCTAGTTAGATTCGGCTAGTTGCAAATAAAACGTAGATGGTTAGAGTGAAGCTACTACATTTTGTGAATCAGATTACCTGTGCTGTTGTGTATTCTCTTCCTGACCGATAGCTGCTACCTTAACGTGATGGTCGGGTTTATATATCACGTATGCCTAGTCGCCGATTGCCTCGTTATACAATGTTGGCCGAAGTAGGTTCAGACTGGAAAAAGGCTCGAGACGGCCAGACCAAAACGTGGCACCAGTGTATGAAGTCTGACTGTTGGTTTGATCCATGTGGGGCGATACAGATTAAATGGTTAGGGTCCGCGGGACAAGAAAAACCATTGGTTGGAGACTCTAGGTGATATGGCTCAGACGCGATGTCAGTGGCGCAGATGTATACACACATTTTCCTCATCTTAATAATGTACCGAATCTCACCATTTTCTCATTCTTCATTTCTCTCTTTTAGTAGTTTATATTTCCTTTGACTGAATTTTCTGTACTTCGTCTACCACTTTACCGCTCTTTTACCTGATGTACTGATATAAGCTGTGGCAACTCAGACTGTTACGCAGTAATGCCTGGTCGTATGTTGATTTGGATGGGTGGATGGATATGACGATAGTACTTAACTTCACGATGACCCAAATAGCTATGCTGGTGGAATACTTGTTCCTTTGGGGTCCTACCGCACCAGAAAGGTCTGTTGTGTAGTAGTTAGACAAAAGCAGTTACCCGTACCCGTAACAAACAAAGAAATGATGCATTATGATGGCTTAGATCAATTATCAGTAGTTAGTGGTGACCCAAAACCACAGGACTTAACTCCGACTACATCTTCCATAATACAGCGCAATTGTCGTGGCATCAAGAAGGCCGAACGTGACCGACCTGAAGCGGATGTCCTTTGGGCATTGCAGTCACTCACCAACCCTTCTTTTTCAGGTAAATCAACAAGGCCTAGCCTTCTACGATGTTGACAGCTGGGAAGTATCAACCGCCCTCACGACTCTGTCAGCGCTCAAGTTCCCTCAAACTACTATCCATCTCCCTTATCCTTTTTTTCTATTCTTCCTTCACATCCTTATTTTTACAATCTTACACCATCTTCAATTTCTTCCAGCTCTTCAACTTTCGACATCGATCTGAGTCCATAGGGCAGCATGCTTGGTCTCCTTAAACCACGCTCCAAATTGCACATCAGAGCCTTCAATATCCTCACTCTCTGTCAAATTGCACAAAAAGCTTCATTGGACAAAACTCTAGCAACTTAGGCCCTAGATGTGTGTTGTGATTGTGAGACACGCATACAGGACCCAAGTGTGGTTATTCATTTATCCTCTCCCGACCAATATAGTGAATCCGCAAAATTCACTCTTGAAGTTTCTGGAGATTTGATGGATACTTCTCGCACTCTTGTAGGTGTAGGCATAGCATTCAACGCTAGGGCAGAAAACTCACTACTAGACTGTATCCCAGTTGACAGTTGCGTATGCGCTGTCCGGGTAAACGGTACAGTGAGAATTCAAAGACATAGTGAAACTCGCCATTGTCTGTTTGTAATCTCGGCTTACGCACCCACTGATTGCAGTCCGGATGAAGTGAAAGATGAGTTCTACTGAAAACTGTCTAGCCTCCTTCTGAACACCAAACATTCAGATGTTGTTGTTTCCGGTGATTTCAATACACAAGCCGGCAAGCTGAGTCAGGCAGAAAGGCAGTTAGGTGGCATTTTCAGAATCCCGGGTAAACGAACAGATAATAGTGATTGCTTACTACAACTGGGCTAAGATAAACGTTTATTTCTATCTAGCACAAACTTGAGACATAAAAAGAGACAGTGTCTGGCATAACATCCACCGAGCTCAACTCAGCGACGAACACATAGATCATATTGCTATCGGTTAGTGCTGGAGAGGGTTGGTGGGAGACTGCCGCTCCTTCTGAAGTACATGCTTGGATACCGACCACGCATTGTCTCGAGTGCATGTGCGTGTGCATCTCAATGGACGTAGAAAAATTAAAGCAACAAGACTATTATGAGTGCAGCCGAACAAAGAGAGCACTAAGGCCGCTTTCAGTGGGAAACTGGGTAGGCAGTTATCGGAACAGAACACTATCACTCATTTAGAAGAAGCTTGGTTTAATTTCCGGTCTTCAATAATAACTGCTTTGAAGACCGTAGCCGACTGTCGAAGCGTGACTGAAAATAACCAGTGGATATCAGCAGCTTGTTCTGAATTAATGAATGCACGTGAACACACCCTTGCACCTTTTGAGTACAACGAGGACCGAACGCAACTCCGATGTGGACTGACCAATGAATGCGAACAGTGGTAGAGAGCGAAGACTGAAGAGATGAGAAGGACAGACAGGACAGGCAGACTAAAACATGTTATCATTGCATGAAGCCCTTGACTGTTCGTTTGAGTCGTGTCGGGCAATACAGATTAGCAGTTGGGGTCTACGGGACAACAGAAACCAGTGGTTAGAGACTCTGAAGTAGTGGGGAATATTTGTAGCTCAGATGAATAGTGTTGTTTGTATTACGTTCTCTGAGCTGGGTTGTTTAATAGTGAAGCTTTCATCGTCTTTTTAGACGACATCTTCAGAACTAACTTCAGTATGGAGTGAGCTGTCAATGTCTCTCTATGAGTGATCTATTAGCTTGCCTTGACGATGTCGTCTAGAAATACAATGAAAGCTTCACGATTAAACAACTCAGCTCAGAGAACACTATACAACCAAGGTTGGAGACTCTAGGTGATATGGCTTAGAATCGATGTCAGTGGCACACATGTATACACATTATTCTCACATTAACTGCAAGGAAGAATGAGGCAATACTGAAATTCAGTGTCACGATTAAGATGCAGATAATGTGTGGATATATCTGTGCCACTGAGATCAATTGTGAGCCATGTCACCTAGAGTCTCCAACGTTGTTACTCATTCGCAATGCTTATTATCCTCTACATTCTAGTAACAATAAAACTAATCATTAATTTTTTATGTCTTGACCTTTTTAAGGCAAATTATTAGTTCCCTGTGACTGCTTACATCCATTTTTTGGTAGCCATATTCTGTTAGAATATTTAGGGACATTATTTTCAAATTCATGAAGGGAAATATTTGTATAAAATCCCTAAACCTGTTGGAATGCTTATGTTTCTTCAACCTCAGTAGCATTCTTATAGCTTCTGATTTCCAGATATGTTTTCTGAAACTTTAATTTTTATTGTAGTTGTTAATGCGCGCAAGACTCTCCGTTAATCTTGCACACTAGTTATTTGGAATAGCATTAAGTCATGCTGTCTGTTCAGATTCAAAAAAAATAGTTAGACTTGTGGAAAATACATGTCATCGACATCGGCTGCGTCATTCAGTGAAGTTGTGTTCATGTGAATAATTTTTCAGCAATTTTATTCATGGTGGCAAATGAACTGACTACCTTCTGGATAGACGGAAGAAAGTTTCTGAGAATAATACCACTACGTCCAGTTGGTTTTGGTAAATTGATTGTAAAAAAGATACCCGTGCATAGTCCATATTTCGTGGAACATTGAGTTGTTTTAAACGTTCTACTGGTTGGTGTATACACAAAATAAAAATATCAATCAGATTAGTGTAACTGACATACCTACTAAAGAAATTTCGCTTTCAAGAAATGGGATTTTCCAATGACCTCTGAAAACTTTCGACCTTATATCAACCTTTTTTCAATTCGTTCTTCCAATGCTTAATATGAGCGTGTTCTCTCTTTAATTGCAACTGAATTTGTTTTCTCCTACTTTTGTATTGTGTTTTGCTTTTTATTGTCACATAATACTTTGGAAAACCATGGTATGTTCTTGCATAGACTTTCGAGATTTCTTATAAGGAGCAAATGGAAATCTGTTTGCGTAGCTTAAGTTATGGCTCTTCAAGGACTGTAGTTAACAGCTCTCTTTATTAGTTCATAATTTATCCTGGGATTTCAAGGTCAAGTATTTAAACAATGCTTCATTGTTCAAAAATCAAACATTGAGATTACGCTTCAAATTCAGGAGTCGAAACGCGGAATTACAGCAACCAGATCAACCTCGCCTAGGTAACTAGTTCACTAGTTACCAACCGGTTCTAAGCCCGAATTAAGAGGGAAGGTTGGCCATAGGGATAGGAACCCTTCCCCGTAAAACCAATCCAATCGCTAAAGAAACTTCAAAGCACAAAAAATAAAACAAAAACAAACTTATTCCTCGCTGGAATCGGAGATTCAAAATGACGTCAGTTGGTGAAAGCCTTCGGGAAGCCAGTTGACCGATGTGTCTTCTCTTAATGAAAGCAAAAGTAAACATGGGGACATGGAATGTCCGCAGTATGTTTGAACCTAGCAAGACTGCTCGGATTGCAAATAAGATGAGAAGGTATAGTATTGGAGTGCTAGGCTAGGAATCTGCGAAACCAGATGGGATGAAAGTGGACTCTCCAAACTGTCAACTAGAGCGGAGTCAATAATCTACTCCGATTTTGTCACCCAGACGACAACCACGAACACAGCACACT